GGAATTAAATTCCTTTGAGGGCTGAACCGCCACCTTTTTTTATGCAAAAATTTACGGAATAGGCACGGATACTGTGAGTACAACTAACAAAGTGCTATATTATAAAATGTGATTTGAAAAATGGGTCAAAACCCTTTACATCTGGACACTAATTCTGAGGCATCGAAAAACCTAGCACAGCTCTGACTGACTCTTTGGAGCATTCAAGTAGCATCATTAACATGGGATACCCAACTGTCTGGATACTTCGGGTTATTTTAATAAACCTACGTACCATCGTCCATCATCAGAAATTTCGCTCACTCTCATATTTCGTAGAATTATGCTATTCTGACTATAATAAAATTTACAGTAAATTTCTATGTAGTGCTTCATTTGCTGCACGTGAACAGGGAACACCTCTGTCAAACTTCAGCTTTCCAGCTTTTCTGTTTCCGATTTCCGCTCAGATATTTTTGCCCTTGAACTCGTCATAATTTGGAGCTGAACTTACATTTTTTGAGAGTTAGGCCTGGAAAACGAGTTTCTCAACGAATTGTTCGCACGCTGTTACATCAGACTAATGTTAGTGACAATTCCACATACTAAAGCTTTTTTCTTAAAAAGTTTTCCAGAGAAAAAATCATCAGCATCCGTGCCAAGATGAGTACAGAATTCTATCACACAGGCTTTTCGAATTGGATGATTTACAGTTGGTTTTTTTTTTTCGAATTCTACATAACTAATCCAAAAATTTTGACCTTTCAGAGAGTATTTTTCACGTTTCCTGATCATTTTTCATTCTTTTCCGGTGTTTTTTCTCCTTTTGAAACAACCGTCCCTTGCTGACCTTTTACAAAACCACCTGCGAGCATTCATATGTTGATTTACGACTGCATTTGAAAAAAAAAGACCCCTCTTTTTCTGGAGTGATGAATGTGTGTCCCCGCTTTTACAATCGATAATAATTGTAAGGTTGTAAAAAAAATAAAAAAATGAAGCGCGCTGCTTTACACAGGAAACCACAAAGATTGTTGGGAAAAGAGATGGGACAAAATTTTTCGGCGCCATCGCATCATTTTTTTTTTTGAGATGAACTGTCAAAAATTGAGATTTTGCTTCCTCTCATCAGCACAATGACCTCCAACACCCA